GGTTTACCAGATGCATTCTGGTAAAATGCATCTATTATTGGGAGAGATGCCAACCACTGTCAGCCAATAATGCCCTGCCTTGAACTTATTTTCAGACTACCTAACTTGTCCTGAAGAAATAGATTGTGGTGTGGTAGGGGTAGAAAGAACCTGGCCCATGGAGTCCTGTGTTTTGAGAGGCTGCTAGAACTGGGACAGGTTGATGGAAGTTACTGCTCTGCCATTACTGCCTCCACCACGACTTGCAGCAACTCTCAAAGCCTGCTTGCTTCCTCAGCCATCATATTGGAGGTACCTGCTTGTTGTGACCTTGAAATTAGCTTAGTGGCACATGTGACCCAACACTCACGGCAAGTAGTATTACACCACAGGGTAACGCTGCAGTGAAGGGCCTAGACAGCCAGAGAAACGTTTCAAAATCATCTTGGGCGCTCAAGGATTTAGGATAGGTAAGAAGACACAAAAAGGATATAAAATGTGTGTGTGTGTGTGTGTGTGTGTGTGTGTAACTAATTCTGGCAGTCTTAACTCCTACCTTTTTTTTTTTTTTAAACTGAAGATAATATGCAGCATCAGAGTCTGAACAAAAAACCCATGAGGATCCTCTGAGGATTTCTGGGGTAGAAATATGTAGGAAAATGAACAGGCACATCTTTATTGAGTGCCTATTGCATGCAGAGTGTTACAAAGAGCTAGGTAAGTGGAAATTAAAAAATGAACAGAAAAGGAGGAAACAAAGCAAATGTCCATTGATGGATGAATGAATAAACAAAATGTGGCAGACATAACAAACCATGGAATATTCTTCAGCTTGAGAAATGAAATTCTAATACATACTACGACATGGATGAACCTTGTAAACATTATGTTAATTAAGTAAAATAAGTCAAATATTTGCTGGTTCCATTCATATGAGGTAGGTAGCTAAAATAGTTAATTTCATAGAGACAGGAAGTAGTATAGAGGTTGCCAAGATGCTGGGGGCAGTGGAGTGGGGAAGAATGGGAGTCATTCTTTAACCAGTACAGAGTTTCAGTTTGAGATGATGGAAAAATTCTGTAAATGGATAGTGGTGATGGTTGCACCAAACTGAATGTACTTAATGTCTCTGAACCCTGCACTTAATATGGCAAACTATATGCTATGTATATTTTAACATGCATACACAGAAAAACAAACAGAAAACAACGACCTCCCAATGCTTGCATTTACAAAAACAAGAAGGGATGCGCAGAACCAAAGAACAGAGTCCCCAAAGGATACAAACCCAGAAGCGTCGCTCACATTCGTCTGGAGTCTCAGAAAGCACTTTGGGTGGGTGGGTGGGGACGGTCCGGGGCAAGGGGCTTATGGGATGCTACTTCCCCCACCAGGGATTGAACCCGTGCCTCTTGTATTGGCGGGACGGAGTCTAAAACACCAAGGAAACGCTTCTCAGTAGGCACAATACTTTTCTATTTACCTGGTTTCCGTGAGTCACCCAGAAACTCGCCGTTTTTTGTTACTCTCTCCAAAAATCACAGTGTCAGGCACAAATCAGTATCTCAAAGCAGGTAAATCGAATGACTTGGAGGAGGGACAAGGCCCCGAAAGTACCGGAGTTTGGAACCGCGCTCCCATTCACGTTCACGGGTAAACGCCTGGGATGCGCTAGGGCCTAAAGCGAGTAGTCCAGGTTCCCGCCTGCGAGTTTATGTCCCCAAGTCAGTGCCAGTCCTCGCGAAGGAAGCCCCTGGACGTTATGAGCTCGAGGTCCCGGGCCCAAGGGCAGAGAACTGAGGCGGTGCCTGCCGAGGGTCCTGCCGCCTCCTCTGCCTTGCGGCGTGGCATCACGCGTAACTCCGGGAGGGCTCGTGGAGTACCCAAATCGCCGAGGGAAAATATCCGGAACATACAGTCCAGGGAAATGACTCCGCGCACGCCCAGTTGCCCCAGAGAAGGCGACGTGGGGGCCTCGGGGAAGAAAAAGCCTAGCCGCCCGAAGCCCAGGCGGAGGGAAGCCCTGGAGCCCATCGACCGCACTCGCAAAACGCCCGCCGCTTCCCGAGCTCTGGCTCGGGACCGGCTCCGCGCCGCGCCGCCGCCAGGAGGCAGGCCTCGCCCACTGGGGCACCACCCGGCCCGCAAGAGCCCCGCCGCTTTCCGCGTCTATTCGAGCGGGGCGTGCCGCAGCCGGGGTCGCAGCGACGGCCCCCGCCCGCGTCATGGAGTTTATTTCCATCCGAGGCCGAGAGCTGGGAGCCCTTTGGGGAGGCAGACCCGAGGATAGGGATCTAGGAAGGCGAAAGCGGGAAGCGCGGACAACGGAATGCTAGGGTTTCCGCGAAACTCCCGGGAGTTTCACGAGCGCGGAGCTAAAGGTGGTACACAAATGTGTAGCTTAACTAAAGCAAGCAAAACAAGTGAGGTGCCCGAATGCGAGGCTTTAGTAAAGCTCACCCAAATCTCTTATTAAAACTGCCTCTGCAGCGATTCTCCCGGATTGATTTTCTGCTTTGACCTTCAGTAAATCCTAACACTTTCCCCTGAGTGGCCAGAAGATAACTTGGCCACGTTTTTTTCCCCAAAGGTTTCCAGGGAAAAGCTCTTAACCCTTTCGGGAAGGACCTTCGGACAGGACAAATGGAATGCGAAGTCAATCCCCGAGCCCTTCTTGGTCATACAAGTTCACAGCGGTGGTAACAGAAGGAACGGCGGCTGTAACTGATCATCTAAAATAACTAATGGTCTGCGAACAAATTCTTCCTCTCCGTTTCAATTTTAAATGCTTCGCCACACACCAGCCCTCAATGCAGAGAAAATCACGGTGTTTATTTAGATAAAACTTAAACTTTCCAATGTAAAAGTGAACTCCTCGGTAAGGACTCCCGGCTACATCAACAAAGCAATGTAATGCCTGATTAGTGGCGCTGATTAATGTTGGCTCAGGTTAATGCCCATTACAATACTTAAATGATTCAGTCATATATCAAACGAGAGTCAATGAAAAAATTTATTTAAGACTTTGAGGCGTTCTCATAGATCTTTCAAAGATCTGTGATGGACTTTATGGGTCATTTGTAACTATAACTGGTTGATAGCTGTCCTTAGCAACAAAAACTCGATTTAAAAAGAAGTCTTAGATGGGTTAACAGTTTGTTTTTGAGACTCTCTAATTGATAAGCAATGAAACATCTGGAAACGTGAAAATTGCTAGGTCCATAAAGTGATATATTAATATATAAGGGCAGCTGATTGTTCCTACATGAAGCCATTCATTTTTGATCCTCAGTTCTTGTCAAGCCGTCATTTTATACAATTTTGAGGCAAGTCCCCAGTTTGAAATAAAAGTGTCTTAGGAAATGCAAAAATCCAAGATGTATAGCTGTGTATTTATTAGGATTTTTCCACTAGCCAAAGTAAAAATGAGCTGGTGATAAAGATAGGTGTACTTAAAAAACAATCATATTTGGATTATTTCCACTACTCTGTAACCCGAAAAGGAAAACTGAGTTGAACAGAACTTGAATCTTCTTTTTAAAAATTATTTCGTTTCTTCTCACCAATACCTATTGGAAATAGTGTATTAAAAAGTACATTTTAAAAAACTGGCGTGAAAGTTTTTAATTTATCATTGTATTTTCTATTATTAAGCCTGACTGTGTAGAGATATGTGTATTTGTTTAGTAATTTAAGCACTTTTAGATTACTGTGGAGTGTTGATTAGAACATCCCAACTTACTGACAACTATAGAAACCCTTACCCCATTATGAAAGATCTCTTTTGAGTCACTCCTAGAAGCAGTTTTGTGTGTGTGTGTGTATTTGGGTTTCCACTAAAAATCTGTTTCTTTTCCGCATTCAATGGTTACTCTCTTTATTCCCATGAAATCTGTCAGATCCTCTCATTAGAGTGGCTTAGTTTAGCTGTTAAGTTTCTAGGGCATTCAATTTCAGATAGTGACTAAAACGCCACCCTAACAGCATTTTTAGTAACATGGTGGAAAACAAACGTCTTTGAAGAAGAACCGAAGGAGACAGGTTAAAAGGTCAATAAACAATTATTATTGCCCTTCAACTGGGGGGGGGGGGGTAGTTCTCATCAAATTCCGTAGGGAGCCGCTCTTTCTATCTGGACGATATGGAACAACCCAGCAAATCTCATGGCCGTTCCCCAGGAACCACCTCAGACGATCCTCAGGGGTGGTCGTGCCCTGGCTAGACGGTTCTGATAGGCCATCGAGTGGTCAACCTGTGGCGTCCCGGGAGTGTTTCTGGGGTTCAGCTTGAGGGCCCATTGAAGAAGAGACTGGGAACTCGAACTCGAGCCGCGGCCCTTGGTCAGACCACCACGAGCCTGCGCGGAACTCAGGTCTCAGCCCCTTTGGGAGGGCACGGTGGGGTCCCGTCTCCTCCCGCCTCTTCACAGTGGCTGCTCCCTCCTCCGGTGAACTTTCTCTCGGAGCAGGGCTTTCTTTCCCTAGCCTTGGCAGCGCTCTGACGTGCACACCATGTGACCGGCCTCCTTCAGCTATAAGCCGGGGGAAGGTCCGCCCTCTCCTGGACTCAGCCCTCTCCTCCAACGAGCTCTGTCCCTAGACTCTCCACCGTCCCGCACCCTCCCGGGCGCCCGCCACTCTTGACTTGTTCGCGCGGTACCCCGCCACCCCCTCCTCGACGGACGCGGCGAGGGGCTGCTGGTGGAGAAAGGAAGGTCAAGTCCCCCCGCCCAGGCGGGGTGCGCCCCGAGCCAAGCCAGCGCAGAGCTCGCGGGACCACCGCGGCGGCGCAGGAGTTACAAAGTCGCAGCGCGAGCCTCGGCCGCTGCTCGCAGCCCCAGCGCCGCAGCTCCCGCAGCCGCGGAGCACCGTTCCCCCCCACCCCGCCCCCGCCTCCCCCACCCCGCCCAGCGTGGCGCCCCCGGGTCGGGCCCGCCACCCGGGACCTGGGCTGGGGTGCGGCGGGAACCCGGAGCCCGGCGCCCCTATGGGCCGCCTCGCCGCCGCCGCCGCGCCACAGCTATGACCCTGAGCACGGAGATGTCCGATGCCTCCGGCCTCGCCGAGGAGACAGACATCGACGTGGTGGGGGAGGGCGAGGACGAGGACGACGAGGAAGAGGAGGACGACGAGGAGGGCGGCGGCGGCGGGCACCGCCTGGCTGTCCCCGCGCGGCAGCGGCGGCGGCGGCGCTCGTACGCCGGGGAAGACGAGCTGGAGGACCTGGAGGAGGAGGACGACGACGATGACATCCTGCTGGCTCCGCGGACCGGGGGCTCCCCGGCGCCCCCGGGTCCAGCCCCGGGGGCGGGGGCCGGGGACGGTGGCGGCAGCGGCGCGGCAGCGGGCGGCGGCGGCGTGGGCGCGGGCGGCGGCGCCAAGAACCCGCTGGTGAAGCCGCCCTACTCGTACATCGCGCTCATCACCATGGCCATCCTGCAGAGCCCCAAGAAGCGGCTGACGCTGAGCGAGATCTGCGAGTTCATCAGCGGCCGCTTCCCGTACTACCGGGAGAAGTTCCCCGCCTGGCAGAACAGCATCCGCCACAACCTCTCGCTCAACGACTGCTTCGTCAAGATCCCCCGCGAGCCCGGCAACCCCGGCAAAGGCAACTACTGGACGCTCGACCCCGAGTCCGCCGACATGTTCGACAACGGCAGCTTCCTGCGCCGGAGGAAGCGCTTCAAGCGGCAGCCGCTGCTCCCACCCAACGCCGCCGCCGCCGAGTCGCTGCTGCTGCGCGGCGCGGGGGGCGCGGGGGGCGCGGGGGACCCGGCCGCCGCCGCCGCCGCGGCGCTCTTCCCGCCCGCGCCCCCGCCGCCCCCGCACGCCTACGGCTACGGCCCCTACGGCTGCGGCTACGGCCTGCAACTGCCGCCCTACGCGCCGCCCTCGGCCCTCTTCGCCGCCGCCGCCGCCGCCGCCGCCGCCTTCCACCCGCACTCGCCTCCACCGCCCCCGCCACCGCCACCGCCGCCGCCGCCGCCGCCCCACGGCGCGGCCGCCGAGCTGGCCCGGACCGCCTTCGGCTACCGGCCGCACCCGCTCGGCGCCGCCCTGCCCGGCCCCCTGCAGGCCTCGGCGGCCAAGGCGGGCGGCCCGGGCGCCTCGGCGCTGGCGCGCTCGCCCTTCTCCATTGAGAGCATCATCGGGGGCAGCCTGGGCCCGGCCGCCGCCGCCGCCGCCGCCGCGCAGGCCGCCGTGGCCGTGCAGGCCTCGCCCTCCCCATCTCCCGGGACGCCGTCCGCGCCCGGGGCGGGCGGCGGCGACGGCGGCGGCGGCGGCGGCTGTGCGGCTCAGGCGGCCGTGGGCCCGGCCGCCGCGCTCACCCGCTCGCTCGTGGCCGCCGCCGCCGCCGCCGCCTCCTCCGTCTCCTCGTCGGCCGCCCTGGGGACTCTGCACCAAGGGACGGCCCTGTCCAGTGTCGAGAACTTTACTGCTAGGATCTCAAATTGTTAATAACGCTCTGTTTGCGCGCTTGAGAAAGAGAAGGTAGGAATCATGGCTCCTATTTTCATCTGGGTGGTTTTGTATTTTGTTCCCTCCTCCCAGCGCGGCCCCTCCCGACCTCGCGCCCCCATTTCGCCGCTTGGGATTCTCAGACGAAACTGTTCGGCAACTTCTCGGGCGCGCTTTTCGGCTCTGCAGGTCCCCCTATTTATGCAAAGTCGCCCAATGCTGCAGCCCCTCGACCTGGGGTGGGGAGGAAGAGGGTGCTGGTGGAGATCCGCCCAGTCTAGGGACAAGGGGCTTCCTTGACTTTGGGAACATTTTTTAAAAATCTAAGCCTTTTTGAGGTCTAGAGAGTCTCAGGTCCAGGCGTTTAAAAAAAAAAAAAGAGAGATCAATAATGTTCTACAGAAGAGTAATGCAAAAATAGTAAAGGTCCCGAAGAATGCCAGAGAAGCAATAGTTTTTATTTGAGGACATTTGTCTGGTGTACTTTTTCATGAAAAGGAAAAAATGATTAACATGTTTACACAAGAAAAAAAGTCAAAATTATCATTTCTTATTTTAACCTGTGTTTTGTATCATAATAGACATGCGGAATTTTTATTTTGTACTTACTGCGTATTCTTTACAAGGAGTATTGTAAATTTTAACTGGCAATTATTGTACTATTCTAATGTAAGATTTTTACACTTTTTCAGAAATAAATGCTTAATTTTCAAAGAAAATTCTCCAAAAGAATCGACTTTAGTCATCCCCTTCTTAGTTTATTTTCTTTTCTGTTAAAAAAAGTTTCCTTGTGGGTTAAGTAGGAACCCATTATAGAAGAGAAAAGTTATATTTTCAGAGACAACTTAACAAAAACATCGTGCCATGATTTTTCATTTATACTAAGTCAAAACCATTGCAGGGGATCAGAAATTATTTTTAAATGACTACAAATAAAAGTTACTTTGGTATACATTTCCAAATCTTATTTGATTCCATCTTGAAGAGCATTGAGGATACTTAAAAGCCACAGTTCTCTAAGATAATTTTATAAAACTTTAAATTTTATTTTGGAGCTTCCCACTCCATTTAGTTTCCACTCACTTCTGAGCACAATATCCTATATATCTGTAAAAACTCTGCAACATAAGGTTATATTTTAATGGGAGTAAGTAACACAAATCTGTGACTTTTGAATTAAAAATTTATTAGAAAAAAATTTGATAGAGGTCATCATCAGTTAAATAGCTTTAATCAAACAAAATATATAGATAAAATAAATTGTATTTGAAAGCTCTAGTATTTAAAGCTATTTTCTTTGACAGAATTCCAGTAGTTGCATAAAGAAGTTTTTATTCTGAAAGGCAGTGTTAACTTCAAAATTCTAGTTGAAATGAATAACTTAGAGTATGTAAAGAAAATCTTTTAATTTTCAGATACTGTACTCTTTAAAGAATGAAAATGCATCAGGTGTTTTTTGAACTACTTATATTTAAAAAATTTAGGTGATCTAGGATATCTTTTTTCAAATTTTATTTTCCTTACCTAGTTATTGCAGGTAGTTTATAGTTCTTTACAAAGATGAGACTAGTTTTGGTTACTACCAGTAATGTGGGCTTCAGATAAAACGAAGGCATAGTAATTTTCATGCTTAATATCTGTGAATTGTTAATTTTTTCAAATATCTGTACAGGTATCTGAAGAGCTGGCGATTAACCTAGCAAATTAACAAAGGCCACATTATAGGCCAGTGTTTTTCAGTGCCATTCATTCTTTGATGCCCTATCCTTCCCTCCCTTTGCGGGGAGGTACAGCTGACCCTCAGCCTCAAAATTAAGTTCTGCCTTTTTTCCCCTATGAAATATTTGAAAGAGGGGAAATAAGAGGCTAAAGTAAACACAATCATCCCCAAGTTTATCACTGATACCTAGATACAAGTTGAAATTCGTTAGACCAAAGCCTTTTTTTGAAAAGTTACTTTTCCCCTAGCCCACCTAAGGAAGAGGAGACATTGGAACCCGGAAGGTCCGGATGTCACTGGCGCCCTGGGTGGACAGACTTTAGCAGGCGGAATCCAAACCGCACAGGCGCTGCTGGCGGGCCTCGAAGCCTTCTGTAAGTCATAGATCTGAATTTTGATCTGAAAGTAATTAGGGAGAGAGCGCGAAAGAACAAAATCGTGTGTCTCACTATTTGCGTGATGCTTGGGTATCCTGAACCTGGGAGTTCCTTTCTCTATCCAAATTTCCGCATCTTTTAAAAAAGTGCCGGGACGCGCTCCACCTCCCAGGCCGTCAGTGCTTTTAAGAGAAAGGCAAGAAAGCCTGGGCGATCCAGCGCTGTCCTCGGTCCGGGATCCGGAGCCGGGGTCCTGCTTCCCCCGCAAGTGCGTCGTGAGTGCTGAATCCTGAGAAAAGGTGGAGCCGACCCGCCTGCCTCAGTCTCGACTTTTGCGTCCTGCGAGTGCAGCTCCTCCACTCCCGCCGGGTTTGGCGTTCCCCCGTCGGCTCCGCGGGCCTGGCCGACGGCTGGCCGACCTATGGGAAAGCGAAGGCCGCGGGGCAGGCGAGGGGTGGGCGGTGGACTGCCAGGCCAGGGCCGCGGGGCAAGCGAGGAGCGAACCACGGGCAGTGGGCCCGGTGAGCCAGGAGCTCGGGGCGCGCCCCGTCAGGCCGCGGGGCGAGCAGGTGCTGGAACAAAGGCCGCCCGGCCGCCCGGCTACCGCGGCCTTTGATGGGCAAGGACGTCTCCTCCCCGGGCTCCTCATTCGCATGCAAATCCAGCTCTGGTCCCCTTTTCTTTGAAGGCAAACAGAAGGATGTTTGTGTGTTTGTAAGGACGAAACCGGCTTGAACAAGCCTTCCTCAATAGGCTGGGTCTCGAAAAATAAACCAGTTGGACAAACATTGGACACCAGCTCTCCTCCTCCCGACTACAAAGTGTGGATTTGCTACAACTCATTAACCCGAGGCTTTTCTCCCCTTCTCCTTGTTTCTCTGCTCATCAAACACCCCCGTAGAGCCTGGAGACAAACGACCGAAGCGCAGTCGGGAGGGAATTGCAGTTAATGGGGAGAGGGATATATTGGGGCTAATGGTTCAGGCAGCTCCCGGAGAAGGACCACACAAAAAGGAGCCTCTCCATTCAGGACTCTGTTGCGCTGCGGAGATTTAATCTGCAGCTAGATTTAGCCAAATGTTATCTATTGCGGGGGTAATGAAGCCCTTATGGATTGAATTGTTCCTTGTACCACACATGGTGTCATGACCTTAGATCATTTCTTGGTTGATTTCTTTTTTCTCTATTGGGTAATTATTTTATTTCTTTAAAATAAGAAGCTAGCGCTTCTGCTCAACAATGTATTTCCTCTCCATCCCCATCCTGTGATTTTAAGAGGCCCTTCCCTTCCTCTTAGAAAAGAAACTGAGGGGAAGGGAAAAAAAATTACGAGGATTTTCTTCATGTTTTACTAAGGCATCTTGTTTGCATCTCTCTCCTTCCCTGCCCCCTAACTCAGTGGCCCATTCCTTCCCAAACTTTCTGCTGATGGAATTGGAATTTGGGATATATTTGTTATCACACTTCTTACAGTGTATGTAGTGAGAATCCATCTGTGGAGGGCTGGAGGTTTCCTCCCTTCACAGGTCTTTTTTTATTTTTTATTTTTTTTTAAATCCACCATTTCTTCCTCTAGCCTGTCCTCTGAGAGAACTGGAGGAGGTGGTTATTCTGATGGAAGGTGATTATTTTGATGGAATACCAGCCCGTGTCATTTATTAAAGGCTGTCTGAGGCCAGCGGTTGTGCCTGTTTTGTTTTTCTCTCTAGCTCTGGTGGTTCTGATTTCCGTGCTTGACTGAGGACCAAGCTTGGAGCAGCTAACAGTGTTATTACAACTGCTATTGATGGGTAGGGATCTGATGTTACTATCTGAAGCCAGGAATTAAGAACTCTAGTTTTCGTTGAGAAATTCTCTGCTGGCTACACATTTTGCTCACACCTGTTTTTATTACGGACTGAGAAGAGTCATTTGGGGGCAAATTAAAGGCCATATCAGCATCAAACTCCATCCAAGTCAGAAATCTGCCCAGGAAGCACCTTGGTTTCTCTGGGCTCCTCCAGTGGGACTAATTGGAATGCCAGGGGTCCCCTTCCCCCTTTAGAAAGGAACCAGACAAGGACAGCCCCTGGGGGGCAGAGGACAAGTGAAGTGGGCCCAGCGTTGTCAGTATCCATTCTTGTCTTTCTGGTTTCCTAGTGTTACAGTTGGGTCACACATATACACACACAGGCATGCATGCTTATTGCCCATCAGCTGCCACTTTCCTCCCTTTCCCCCTATGATTTTGTAATTAGGCATATGCTTTTTGTTGGTAAATGTGTTTGATGTCACAGCCAGTGAAACGTGGAGTGTTTATAGGGCCACGAATGTAAATGTGTAAATATGTTTAGTGTAAAATCTGGCCCTTCGACTTTAGCAATAAATACCCTGCCAACTCAGATACAATTACATTTGACAGAAAGATGGAGAATCTGATCATGACCAGCTGCTCAGGGCTCTTTCGGTCTTAAACTTTCCCAACTGAATTCACTTTTCAGATAATTTCTTTGCATGTCACATCTCTCTAATCACATCTTTCCCTTAATATGAACAGTTTTAGGGCTCCTTTCTTTTTACTGTTGGCCCCTCTGGCGTGCAGGAAACTTCGTGCTTCACTCCTGCTTCTATACCTGGAAAATACTATTCAATAATGAGTAAAAAAAAACACACTTGGAAAACAACTGATTTTTATCATTGAACCCCCATTTTGAGTCCTCAGTTTCTGGGTGTGATAAGAGAAGTGAGGATAAAATATGTAAGCTTCATATTTCTAATTTTCCTTGTCCTTAGCATTAAATCGTAATTTTAAAAACTGCTTTAAGCTAATCTAACTTTTAAGTGAGCACATTGTGTAACCAGCTTCAAGCCAAGAAGTAGATGTTACCAGTACCCTGGAACCCCTTTCTGTCTATTGCAGTCAC